AAAAAAAAAAAAAAAAGATCATTTGCTGAAAGTGCGGACTTGAATCTAGAGCTCTTGTCCTGTCACTCCACTAAAAAGAGGAGGAGCTAGAACTGGAAGCGAGGCAATAAATGCCATTCCAGTACCCTCACCAGCAAATGGGGCATCTAACAGGTAAATAACATCATATTCAGCAAGTGCAAGCTTAGCTACTTCTGTATAGAACACACTCGAAATAACAGAAGGAAACAAAAGCTGTAGAGCTGTCTCCTCACCTGCCCATTCTTCTGCGTGGTGCTCCACACAAGCAGCTGTGCATTTTCCAGAGCTGGACTCTCAGGGGACACCAGCTTTCACAGGACTTCAATCCTCCAATTTGGAAGTTTAAATGACTTTAGAATGGCCTCAAAGAGAGCAGAGAGTCTGTTCTAAGCCTTAGAGGTTTTTCTCACTGGGGAAGTTGCCATGCAGGTGAAATTGCCTGTTACCCAAAAAGGAATCCACCAAAGGCAACAATTTCCCAGACTCAAGACAAATGAAGAATACTAAGTGGACCAGCTTGTCTGCAGACCTAGAAATTCCAGTGGACTTACAAAACCCGTGACCCATCCAGTTTATGACAGTATGTCTGGTTTTTCAGCAGGTGAATTGACTTCAACGCTGTTAAAGCCTCACTCCTGTTTTGCTTTGTGGAGTTCTTGCTAAGTGTCTAAACTGAATCAGTATTTTTTCCAGATCTGCAAACCCATTGTATGCCAGAATAGAACGATCTTTACTTTTGCTTAGCCTCATTCATAACTTCTTAGTTTACAAGTGTAAACTAAGTGTAAACTTCCAAGATGAGAGAATTGAATTTCCCTATATGTTGAGCCATTCTAACTAGGTTTTTCTGCAATTGTCTGAAGGCTACACTCTGGTTACATTCTGGACTGGGCATGAATGGACATTTCCTGTAAAGCCAGGGAATAAATATTTCAGGCTCTGCAATCCCTATCGTTCCTGGAGCATGGACTCTACCCTATCCTTTTATTTGAAGAGCAGCCACAGACATAATCTCACGAAGCAGCATGTGTCAATAAAACTTTACTGATAAGAGCAGATGGCGGGCCGGGTTGGTAGTGCGGGCCTGCACACTCAGCAATCTGGAGACGAAGGTAGGGGGAGGGCGTTAAGTCTGAGGCCAGCCGGGGCTACACGGTGAGCCCCGGCCTCAAAACTCTACCTGGAGAGAAGGCAGGCAGGCTTCGTGGTTTCTGCCGTGGAAGTGACAGCTGTCCCTCTTTCAGGGACGTTGCCTTCCGCAGAAGCAAGCACCGACCTCGGTGCGGTGCAGGGCGACGCTGGCCTTCGCTGGGAAGGGGACACGGGCGCCCCCGGGCCCGGGCCCGCCAAGGACGCTCGGCGTGGGGGTCACCACGGAGCGGAGGGAGCCTGTCGCCACACGACCGCCCCCCACACCGTCCGAACCGGTGAGGCCGGGCTGCAGGCGCCCCGACACCCCCGGCGGCCCGGCCCGGGAACACCCACTGCCTCCGGGGACCCCCGAAAATAGCTCTTCCGGTCGCCGCTGACACCTCGCTGCGCCCCGCCCACGTGGTCGGGGCCAGGCAATAACCACGCCCACTTCCGGCTCGCGTCCGGCGGTGCCTGGCGCCGTGGCGGCCCCGCCCCTCCTCTCGACGTCACTTCCGGGGCGGCCCGGGCGGGGCC